GTCCCTTCCGACCCTTAATCTATGAATCTATGAATAAACATTTTCTCTCATCTGAAAGATGGAATCTTTGTCAAGTATTTCCATTAAGAAGCAGGCTGTTCCACTGGCTCTTTAGCAACAGATGGAAGAGTAACACTCATTCCTGCAGCTCTCCTCTTCAAGCTCTCACCCAATCTGATACTGTGCAACTTGTGAGACCTGATGGGATCACAGCACAAAGCAACCACAATGTTGTGTTACAGATCTTTTTCTCTACAATGCATATTTCACTGATTTGGACAGCTTAAATACTTTTTATGTTTGTACACCGGTGGCTCTGAAGGGCAATATCTCTTGGGAACAATTCTAACTCTGCTTAACCTCTTCACCACTGTTCTTCCATTACAACTACTATGCTGCTCTGTTCTGCCAATACTCCAGTAAACTCAGTAGAAAGCTGAAACTCATCTAGAACAGGGGCTTTCAATAAGTGTACCACCGCATCCAGGCGGCTGGACGCAGGGGGAAGGGGAGTGGCATGCAGCCGGATGTGGAGCATGACTTCGCCCCACCACCCCCGCGTCTGGGCAGCTGGGCGGCGCCTGTGCGGCCTGCAGAGGGGTACCACTGCCCTCACCCCATTCCAGCCCTGCTCCTGGGAAGCGGGAAGGGTGGTGATTGGCAGCACTCTGCCCCAGCCTACCTGTGCGTACCCCTTAGAGCCTTCCCGCATACCCCCAGTTGACAACCCCTGCTCTAGAACATTTAGCACTAATAAAAGTTTGTTTATTCCAATAAATTCATTTTACTTGGCAAGGCTCTTAGCAACTATTTTTTTTAAACAGACATCAATAATAATTAGGCAGAACTGCTGTGCGACTACAATGTGTGGACTGTTTCTACATGTCAATGACACAACCTTTGTCTTGTGCTTCACAGAACACCTGATGCAAAAGGATAACTCTGTGTACTATAATACAGCCCTGTTGTAGTGTTATTGGTTAATCCCACAAGGAATGCCAGATTCTCATTTCAATACTTCAAGAACTTTAACATTTTAGCCACATATTGAACTTTCCTAATACAGGATAAAGAATGATTCAATATATTAACGAATTCTAAAACTTACTTGGTGCATTTGGATCATGGCGAGGTTTGTAGCTCTGGGAATCTTTGAGTAAATTTTCTTTAAAGCTGGATTTGCAAACATTTCTGATGGGGGAACAGAATGGCTTCATAGTAGTTTGTGAAGAACCAGGTGGAACTGTAGTAGAAGTTGTGACACCAGACTGAAAACACCTGCCACTCTTAAAGTCCTCTGCTAAAATTACACCCATCACTTCAATTTCTTTTCCTCCAATCATCAGTGTTTGTCCTTCATTAAGACTTTCCAGGTCTTTAGCTTTATATCCAGTACCTAAAATGACAGTTCATTTACTGAGATTTAGTAATCAATTAGGACAACACAATGGGTACTGTTTTCTACCATCAGTCCTGTATTTTCTCATATACTACATGACTTTAAATAAGATATATACCTTGTTTTTGGAAGGCAAAATGTAGAAATATTTTTTTTTTCCAGAGTCATGGCTGAGTGTGACATGGAGGAAGCCCTCCTACAGACAGAATATCCAGGAAGTGAGGCATCCCAGAAAACAATCTGGGTGAGGCAGCAGGAACTTCCTGGTATGCAGGACAGCAATAAAGTTGGGTCCCAGACTCTTGCAAGGGCAGCAGCAAGACTGTTACTTCTTTACTGTAAAAATTGTTTACATCAGTGGCGCACAACCTGTGGCCCATGAAGCTCATCACATACATGAGCTCACTTACGTCAACATGACTCCTGCTGAAGCTCTGACTGTGCAGTGACCTCTCTGAGCTCAGCATCATGTCAGTGCAGGTTCTGGCCAGAGCCACTGGTTTTGCATGGCTTTGGAGCCCAGGGATTAAAGCAGGGGTGGGCAAAATGTGGCCTGCAGGGCCCCTAAAAAATTTAGAAAATTAATATTTATCTGCCTCTGGCTTCCTGTCATGAGGACTTCAATAACTTGCCAAAACTCAGTAAGTGGCCCTCCACACAAAATATTTGCTCGCTCCTGGATTAAAGGATTAAACACTGCTGCCATTTGCCCCATCTTTTCCCCTGCTACTGAATTCAGTAGGGAAGAGGGGGACAGGGAATGAATGCATAGGTGCTGACACTAGGGACACTCCAGGGCTCAAGCACCCATTGAAAAAAAATTAGTGGGTGTTCAGCACCCACAAGCCATGTCGGGCATACCAGCCTGAAGTAACACAGTGCCTCTTCTGGTTATGCTCAGGGCTTGGTGCAGGAACACAGAAAAACACTCACCAGCAAAAAACAAAATCAGCATGGATGAATGGCAGTACCATTAACATCCTGGGCTCTAGACCCATGCTAAATAAGTGGCTCTGGCCAGAGCCCATTGACATACCAAAAAGTTCAAAGAGAATACTGGGGCTGGAGAGCTCCAGCAGGAGCCAGGCTGACATGCAAGTGAGCTCAAATTGCTCACTACACATGCTGAATACAACCAAAGGAAGTGTGGTCACACCCCTCCCCTGCCCCTAACCCTGTCTTGGCCATCAGCCCATTTCTGATTTTACAATTTGGCTTGCTTGTAAAAATAAATAAATAAATTGAGCATCACTGCTTTATAAGTTCTTGTAAATAATCAAGTATTGTTTCCAGACCACAAGCCTCATCAAGATACTACAGACGGCATCAAGCAGCTTACTTACTCTGAGCCAGCTCAATTGGTCCTTGAAGCACAACCTACAGGACTCAACCAATAGCTAGGGCTGTGAGAGGTTTAACATGGGACTGACTACACCCTTTCTGCTTGCTGTGGCCAAACAAGCAGCAGAGATTAGAACACAGCATCTGCTTGCTCCTGTTTCTACTCCAGCAAAGAAAAATCAGCTTCCCTGCTTAGGACATGCACCCCAGTTTTGGAAGGCTGATTTGGGGGAGTGGAAAAGGGCATGTGTTGTATATTGTTTTTCTCATGTCCTGTCATTTCTTCCAGCACCTGAGCTGGCTCACATATTTCTGCATGGCAATTACATTGTGCCATAAAGACATACCTGGATTCTCAAATAGTTAATGGTAGAAGCCTTTTCACTTAAGGTGAGGACAATGCTAAACTCCACACTAAATGAGGTAGTCAAACACTAAAATAACCCAAGAGAATAATAATTAGAAATGCTGCCACAGTGATCAAAAATAAAACAAGCAGTTTGTAAGGAAACAACTTTTAACAATCTTAGTGGTCACTATTTTCCTTTTTAATTTAGCTGAGGGAATGAGACTATGGGCTGAACTTTGGAACAGCTGTATTTTCTTGCAAAACAACCAAACTGAATTTTTAACTTCCTACAGAGAAATAATAATGTCTCCAAGCTTATTCCTGAGCATCCTGGAATACTTCCTGGTGGTTATAAAGAGCTGGCTGGTCATATCATGGCTCTGGTTCCCTGCACTGTCTTCTGTTAAATATCATTAAAAGGCAGTCAAAATACATTACTTTTATAATTTTATATTTTCCCACTAAGTTATTGGTGCACAAGTAGCTCCCACAGAAATCTTATGCAATATCAAATGGAACAGGAAACTAATTTTTCTGATGGCTGCAGTTGCATATCATTCTACCAAGGCTATTTTACCCTAATATTGGCATATATATATGCACATTTACATACAGTATACATTATGCATTATATTAATATAATATTATGCATTACATCCCTTATATAGTAAATGCACACACTAGGGCTATATTGCTTCTGCCAGTACCTGATCCAGCTCATCACTGCAGTGAGTTGCACAGACACATCCTGAGTCAAAAGTGACTGCACACCAGTTTATTTAGAATTCAAATGCAAATTTTAATTAATATAGATAACATTCATATGGTTTAAAATCTAGAGCTGATCATATAGCTTAGAACTACGCTTGGGACATTCACTCACATCTGCAACTAATTACATATGTGCATGGGCTGTAAGGAACACATTAAAGACCTTGGCATCTATTCATTAGAGGCCTCCATCTTGTATACATCCTCCAGTATATAAAGTTAGAAACTGTATGTTGTTGCTATAGATGTACAGCAATTTAAATAATTGAAATTCTCAGTATCCTTTCATAAAGGCACCTTTGCAAGGCCAGATTCCATGTTTTTTCTAATTTAAATAGGACAGCACTAAGTGTTCGACCATAGTAACAAAAAGAAATTGAAACCAATTACCATAAAGAATTGCACTCATTGTCAAGAGTCGAAATGTAACTGATAACCTCTGCAAGTTTGTGGACTCTCTCTCTCTCCATATATATATCATTTAGTTACTGTATAAACCTGCATATCTACCCTGCCTTCTGAACCTCTGAAGGGCCATCCTAGTTAAACAGTTGTTAAATAATGAATGTGGTTGCTTAAAAATTCTTCACTCAACTAGGGGAGGATGGGTTGTTCTTTAAGATCAAGCCCTTTCATTAATATATACCCAATCAAGCTGCAAATAGATGTATGTCATTAATTGTATATCTGTGCTTATAAACCTGGAAAGGATTGGAGGCACATAATTGACCTAAACTGTTGGGAAAACTGAATAACTAACAACAGATCCTCAGTGATCCTGGGGTCTGGCCTACCTCCATACTCCCAGGCATGAGTATGTTATTTCAGTTTCACTGCCTGATCTGATACTGTTTAAAATTTGATTTAACTTTCCAACACAGTGCTTCTCTTGAGAAGAGTTGGGTATACTAGATCAGCATTTGTCAATCTGTAGGTTGAGACCCAAAAGTGGGTCACAAGAATATTTCAAAGAGAAATGCATGAAAGCACAGGGTTTCCCCTTGCAGGCTGGCAGCATTCCAGCCTGCAAGGGGCTGCTTGGGACATGGCCAGCATGAAGCCAGGCAGGGTAATGGGAGCAGCCCCAGCAGCCAGATGCAAGTAAGTGTATGTTGAGTGGGGGTTAGAGGGCCAGGGTGTGTGCATGTGTGTGTGCAAGTGCATGTACATGCACGTGTGGAAGGGATGGGTGTGGGGGGGGGCAGGTGCCCACTGGCACTGGGGGAAGGTTGCCAGGCGGCAGGTC